CCAAAAGATAAAAGATTTCTTCGGTAGATACTAATAGTGTATTTGTTCGCATTAATACACATATTTTTAGAGACTACATTCTTTTTTAAATGAAAAAGTGGACATTTTCCTAAAATGGTTGCTTTTCACGAAAGCAATTGTTTGTTCTATTTAAACAAAAGAATTTGGATTTTAGTAATTAAATATGTTATTAGTACCCAGCGAATAAATACTTTTTATTTTCGAAACATTTTTTCTCTCAGTGTATTATCGATAGATTGAAGATGATACTTTCCTCAATGTCATCCATCACTCTGACTACTGCCGTATTTCTCAGTTCCAACCCGATGATCGACCAATTCTGTTACTACTTGAGTACACCGATAGTAATAACAAACACAAAACACGCGACACGTCGCGACATGCACCGGTTGTATACCGTACGAGAAATGCGCGAGGAGATTATTCAAACAACGTATTTGCGATATTTCCTGACGATACATCGCTCTTTTCGACGATACATGAGATTTTATACATGAGATTCACTTTTGACGTATAAAAGACGCACGGAGATGTCGATTAATATATCCACGCTTGCTCGTTGCAAAAAAAATCCAAATCAAACATAGCCGTGCAATTAATAACGTACGTCGAAAATGCGCGCCAAAATGGTGAACGGTGCTGCAACGTTCTGACAAGGACGCGCTCTGTGAGGTACACCTCCCCATCTCTCTCTCTCTCTCTCTCTCTCTCTCTCTCTCTCTCTCTCTCTCTCTCTCTCTCTTGCTAATAGACCGATGCTACTTGCCGAGATTCGGCGTCGCGATTACCTCTGGCGTCGTCTTTCGCTCCGATTATCATCGTCTTTCTAATTCCCGACTAATGAATCCGACGATCGTCTGATTCAATTACTAATTAAATGAGTTGAAGATAATGATAAGAGTGATAGACGGCGACTCGACACGACGCGACAAGCACCGCTTGTGTATGTACGGAAAATGAGCAGATTATTCTCTAATAACACACCTGTGATACGTTCCGACGATCGTACATCGCTATTATCGACAAGTATTTCCGCACGAGACTCACTTTCGACGGACAAAAGTTGCGTAGAATGTGGAACAATATCGATCGATGTATCCATGATGGTTGCTCGACGTAAAAGGATCGAAGATGCCCGCGCAATGCATGACGGACGCCGAAAGAGCGCGTCAAAACATAAAACAGTGTCGCGGTTCAACAAGGACACGCTTTATCTCCTTCTCTTTCTTGTTAACAGAACGACTCTACCGCGCGCGATTCGGCGCCGCGTATATGTATATCTCTCTATTCACCTTCCCCTTTCCCTCTAATCATTATTAAATTTCTAATTTCCGATTAATAAATCCGACGATTGTGTAATTCTGTTATTATTTAAGCCAGTCGAAGATAATAATGAGAGTGATAGACGGCAACTCGTCAACACGTCGCGATTCTACGCATCGGAAAATGAGCAGATTGCTATCTAATAACGTACCTGTGATCGCACGTCCTGACGATCGCACTCTTTTCGACACTCCCGACACTCATTTTCGCACGAGACTCACATTCGACGAGCAAAAGTCGCGTAGAACGCGCGGAGCGATGTTGATCGATGTATCCATGGCGGTTGCTCGATGCAAAAGGATCGCACACACGGAACGCGGGACGCTTGTCGCGCGACAGGTGGCGACGCCGCAGCGACCAATCAGCGTGTCGTGTTCTCAGAGGAACTAGATTATCGCGAGTGCTTTGCCATTTGATAGAGAGATTGGTAACTATTAGATATTTTGGGACATTCGTTTTTAGCTGCGAGTTCTTTATTATCGTTGAATAATCCAGAAAACACCATTACCACTTTTAATCACACTCAATATCGTAGTCTTGTTATCATAATACAAATTATCTGGGGAAATTAGTTAAGGTGGATAAATGACTAGCAAACATTACGATGTTGTATATGTTTTGTATTTAAACATATGGGCAGTGTTGTAATGTAATCTAGATACATTTATTAATTACAGTAGATATATTTATCTAATTACAGTAAATATATATATCTAATTACAATATCTAGATACTTTTTGTGTATCTTTATCTGTAACTAGTTAGATTTTTTATTTCAGTAACTGTATCTGTAACTAATTTCATTTTACTTTGTATCTGTATCTAAGTTTAACACTTTAGATGCAGATACAAGATAAAATGAAATTAGTTACAGATATAGTTACTGAAATGAAAAATCTAACTGGTACAGATAAAGATACACAAAAAGTATCTAGGTATTGTAATTAGATACATTTATCTACTGTAATTAAATAAATGTATCTAGATACATTACAACATTGCACATAGGGACTAAAGAAGTTTGAGTGGATTAATAAACTTCTGGTAACATATGAACTAGGAAATTTTGATTGATGTTATTTGAATATTATTCAAGAATATTATTCAAGTTAACTAAAAATCTCGTTAATTTGAACAGAATTTCGGTTGAACATATTTTCATATTTTGTCTATATTTTACCGAAAATTTCATATTTTGTCTATATTTTACCGAAAATTTGCTTAATTTAAGTAAATTTTTTTGTCCGTGCAATATATAGATGATAGAGTGGAAATTTATATCTGAACTATTTGTGAGATTTAGCAAACAAGTCTTTCAAGTTATTTATCTAATAACACTTTTTATGAAAGTGATTGTGTGGTAAACAAAGAAGATTAGTGACAAGAGACAAACAAATATTCATATCTGCTTAATTTACTTGTAGATACTGTCAGAATATTTCTGTAAATTCTACATTCATAGGCAATTTACAGATAATTTTCTAGCGGATACAAAAAACAGCGATAAATTTATAAGTGTGGTATTTAAAATTCTATAGCAACAAAATACTTTTTTGAACGCATCAGTCATGAAAAACGCATAGCTAGATACTGACACGGCCGGCTGAAAACTTTTAGTAACTATCGATGTATTGATGGCAAGATATCAGCGAAATGATTGATAGCTTTGGCACACAGAGCACCCAGGCAGAATAAAAAATCACAACGATGTCAGGATGATGTCAAAATAAGACGAGAAAATAACTAAAAAATTCACTTTTCAATCACGATTCAATCATTTCCCTATCGTGATTTTCTGTTCTACTTGGGCATCGATCATGTATCTTTCTCCCTAATGTGAACTCGTGAGAAGTTTCATTGACAAATTCACAATGAAACATTTCACACGAGTTCACGCAAGTGAAAAAGATGCACGATATCGTGTGAATGCCTGTCACGCGACAAAGTATAGCTCTTATAGAAATGCTGCACGCTGACTGGCTATCGCGTCGCGAAATGCCGCGCGACATTCATACATTCGCGTTTCATGTGTACAGTGCACGCATCTTTGATTTTCTTGCATCGAGCAATTAGCATATCAATCGGCAATTACTTCGTGTTCTATCCGTCTTGGTGACAAACAGAGGGAAAAAGAAAGATAAATGATGCGAGAGATATATGCGACGGCGAATCGCGGGTGGTAACGTTGGTTTGTTAGTGTGTGTGTGTGTGTGTGTGTGTGTGTGTGTGTGTGTGTGTGTGTGTGTGTGTGTGT